AGGTCACAAAGCGGCAATTTCCTAAAAATTTGGTCTACCATTTTATCCTAAATGGAAATATTGGTTCCAGTTTGAATAACGAAACTTGACTTCAAATGACCTTGAAAATGACCACGAAGGTCGCATCCAATGTCAAAGTGGTGATTCCCTAAGACTAGTTTTTATTATTTTATCCTAGATAGAAAGGTAAAATTAAAAGGTATAAAATATTCTGTGAATTACTTGTATATTACAGCTTATTTGTATTTTGCAAAAAAATTGTTACATTTACAAAAAAATAAGAGATAAATAAATAAATGACTATATTGGAAATAAACAAACACTTTTCTCTCCCAGTTTGAAGGGTTATAACCTATTTATTTACAACATAAAACATAATAAAACATTTTGAAAAAAATTGCAAATTTAAAAATATAATTGAGACATAGGTAAATACAGGGCTTTTACAGTTACAATTCAAAATTCTCTGCAGATCTACACGATTTAATTGTCATGTTTTTTTTCTGATTTGATGCAGTACTGTTTAATAACGTCTATTCGTAATTTGAGAAAAACCGTACGTCTGGATGACCTTTCCTTCCCTAAAATTACCCGGGACGAAACTCCGCGAAACCCCTCGCATAAACAAATAAATTTTAACGTTTACACCGACAATTTCCCGACCGTACGAGTGTTAATCAAATTTTTAGGAATCATAAAGCGGCGATAAAGTCGGTCCGTTCCGGACGAAACGGGCAGACATTCTCTTTTATCGGCGCCGTTTATGGGTCAAATTTGTTACATTAAATTTAATAAAAGCCCTGCTTTTTATGGACCGTGCCGAGATACGACTCTCACAGTTACAATGACAATAACGTCTTCCGAACGGTTATATCCGCTAAAACTGAACGGGAAACGGTCGCAGGGACGTAACAGATTTTATAAATCTGAAGCTCGGAGCGAAATACGATATGTTGTCTCCGGGAACAACATTACTGTCGGAAGCGTTTTATATACCGACTAGAGCGAAAAATCACGCCTGTTTCGAATGTTGGCTGGTAATCACAACCGTCTAACTGAGCCAACAGTGTTCAAAGACTTGGAGATCTCTTTCGAAACCCATCACCAAAATTGTTAAAGAAGTCTAAACGTTGATCAATGCATTCTCAACGTAGGGGATGATGCTCAATGATCTCAAACTGGAGACTTTCGCCACCCTTCTAATTCAACAAGCGGGATCCAGTCAGCTGAATCTTCCGGAGCCACCGAATACCTTGTTCGAACGTCGGCTGAGGGTTATTAGGACTGAAAGATAGCCAAATCCTAAACAGTACAAAAACAGTTAACAGACAATTGATTATTCCAATTCGTTAGATTCAAAAGTTGAGTGAAAAAGTTTAAAAGCTTGACGAAACATTAAGAGCACGATCGTTGTATCTGCGTCGACAGAATAGTAATCCTGCAAGCTCTGTGTAGACACTTCCTTTTACCAATACTTCAAGAATTGTTCGGACATGTGGACGGTCGCGATGAAGCCACAAACTACCGGCTAATCTCCCGTATCGGTCCTTGCCCACCCGTCCGTAATCTTTAAGAAGAACGGGTCCGCATTCGCCCGCCGATTTAGTTCTTCGCTTTCGTTCCGCAACGCCGAACATCCTCAAAGGAAAGAAGAGAGAGACTTTCAGAATCGACGGAGTGTCTGTAATGGAGAACCCTGCCTAACTACCGTTCACAAACGTCCCCTAGGCGGCACCTTCCGACGTAAATAAATTATTTTTATGCGAAATCCGTACGGCGGCGGGCGGACGCCTTATCTCGCCCTTTGATGTCGCGCTGGGGCCCTAGAAATGTAAATTTGCCAACTTTTCACCCCGACGGCTTCTCCCCTTCGAGTTTGCTTATTAAAAGCGGTTGACACTCGCAAATTACGGCCGACTGTAAATGGATTTGTCCCCGGCACTGCGCAGGTAGGATTTGGATAAACAGTAATTTAATTACAATTGGGCGGAGAAGCCGAACGCGAAGAAAAGGTTTTTTTTTCAGTCGTCATGAAGAAAATGGAATAAACAGCGCGCGAATATTTTAGATCTTGCAACATAAACGCTGTGGAATAAACAGCGTATATAATTTTTCGTATTCAGTATACATCAAATTGCATAAAAATACATTCAAAACTACGTCAAAATACATATAAAATTAAATTTTGAAATACGTTGAAAATCTCAAAATAGTTCGAAAATCTCAGTGTTCATGATATTTCGAGGTTTTAGAAAAATTTCATGATATTTTAATGTAATTAGGGCATAGAAAATGTGGGACAACAACTGACGCCCTTCGCTTCATCACCGTTAACCCGCACTATCTCACTTCACATGCACTGTAGGTTGCCTATAATTCATGTATTTGTAATACATATATATTACAGTGGCGGCGTATACAAGTATTAAAGTGTATTTTAAAAAACTAACTCGACTATTTAATAAAAAAAAAATCAGATTTGTATTCAGGAAAACACGTAAGTAGATAAGCTATAGGCGTACGGTGACAAAATCCCATGTATTTTCTTATGAAGGTCCATCTTGGTCATTTTGACCAATTTTACCCCCATTCCTCCAGCTTCTCCCTTCCCCCTCCCCTTCCCCGCCCAGCCAATCAGAGCGCAGTATTGCGTCATTCTTATCCGGTATTGCATCATGCAAGGTCAATGACCTTCAAACACTAATCTGATATATTATTTCCTTTATAATTGTAGTGTTAGCAAAATTGCAACTTGGTAGCCTATTTCCTTTAATACTGCTACTTTGACATAAACTTTAACCTGATATATTATTTCCTTTATAATTGCAATGTTAAAGGAAATAGACTATCAAGTTGCAATTTTGCTAATACTGCAATTATAAAGGAAACAAGATATCAGGTTACAGTTTATGCCAGGTTTATGCCAGCATGGCAGTATTACAGGAAATAGACTATCAAGTTGCAATTTTGCTAACACTGCAATTATAAAGGAAATAATATATCAGGTTACTGTTTGAAGGTCATTGACCTTGAATAATGGAATAGCGGATAAGAATGACGCAATGCTGTTTTAAATGTTAAATTTACCGCCATTTTCCCGCCAAATGCTGCGCTCTGATTGGCTGGGCGGAGAAGGGGAAGGGAAAAAGTGGAGGAGTGGGGGTAAAATTGGTCAAAAATGACCAGGATGAATCTTCATAAGAAAATACATGGGATTTTGTTTCCGTACGCCTATAGCCTATCTGCTCACGTACCATTACCCCTAAAAAACTGACCCCCCCACTTAGAGTTATACCCTGTATAATAAGATATTTCGAAGTTTTTAAAATTTACGAACTTTTGCAAATGAAAATGTGATGCATTTTGCCATTCTTTATATATACTGGTGATATTAAATTTTATTAAATTTTTTAATTATTAATGCATATTCTTGATAGCCTCCCGCGCCACATTTAAAAAATATCGCGCCCCGTCCTGTTCCCGGAGCGAGCAGGGAAGGACGGGCGCGTCGAGCACTTATCCGTATTTATAATTCAGGATCCCGGGGCTTAGTGCATTTTAATTTCGCGAACTTTGCCGTCTATTTTCGCCGCAACGCCGGCGAGCCGAGCAAAAAGAAGGAGCGCCCTCAGCCATGCATTTTCCATGTCACGTAGTTTTTGTACAAATCACAAAAGCACGGATCCGACAAGCGCCCAGATGCAGCAACGAACGCCATAAAAACGGCGCTGCTTTTTCTACAGAGTGGTGCGGCCGCAGCGAGAGGGAGATGTATTGCCGCATGCAGAATTTTGTGATTGATTATACGGAAGTAGGTCGAAGTTCACAGAAATAGCAGACGTTTATTTTGAAAGAAGCTATGCATTAATATTACGTGTTTAAATATATATATTCTTCTAAACTATTGCTTTTCTCTTAGTGTTATATATATATTTTAAAAATTATATTTGTCGAGTTGTTTGCATTACGTCCTATATTATAGATTCAAATCTAGTCGTTACTTATTACGTGTGGAGTATCCCAGGGTTCTGATCTGGGCCCCCTTCTCTTTGTTACTTTTATTAACGACATATCTTAATGGCCACAAATTAATATATGTAGTGACTTGAAACTTTTCTGTGGTAATTGTTGATGACTGTTTTCATCTTCAGAACCAGTTAAATGGTGGTAAAATGGCTAAATCGTAAGTCTAAATACATAAGTCGTCTTTATGCGCAAAATAAATTCCATTCTATTTAACTATGACATTGAATTCGACATTTTAACACAGCTTTGTGCTCTTTGCAAGATATAGGAGCTTGCTTTGATGGTAAATTGACTTTCTCAAATCACTTGGTCTCTTCAAGTCTCAAGAATGTGATAAGACATTATCATGACTTACGTGATCATGCACTATTAAAATATTTTATGCATATGGCCGCTCTAAGATTGAAATTATACTCTGATTTTGATTATTTTACAAAGTGTTTAGATAAAGTTAACCGACTTTGTGCGGGAAAAGTTCTTAATTTAGACAACTAGATTTTTTACAGTAGAACTGCTAGTCCTCGTACATATTGGAAAATGTATTTTATTTTGTTTTGGAAAATCTATTTTATTATGAAAACATACTTTATTTACTGTAAGTTTTGATATAATGGCTGCCCAATATATTGCTACATCAGGGGTTCCGCAGGGGTCAAACTTGGGACCACTCTTATTTATTTGACACATCAATGATTTAAGTGATGTAATAAATTACTAAGAATGTTATTATATGCCCATTTTAAAATGAAAGTAATAATGGAGACATATAAACCAGAAGGTGACATTTTCACCCATGTTTCCATCTCCACCCTGTACCTACATATCCGACAAGCTCGCAGATGTAGCCGCCGCTGCGAAAACACCGACACGTTTTGTACATTTTGTCTCAATTGTTTTCGTCTCGATTGTTCCATGTCGCCGCCGCCGATTGGCCTGATGCTGCTCGTTGAATGCCGTTTCCATGGACGCTGCAGGTATCAACTCCGCTGAAGAGAGACACGTAAGTACCCATTGAATACGTAATTTCATTATGTTTTGCTTTTTGCGCCGCGTTTTTTTTTCCGCCCGCATCTGCCCCCATTTGCCGATCGGGGGTGGGCGCACGAAGCGGGGATGCCCAATCAAGTAGGAGCTGGATACAATTTATTCTAACGCTACATACTGTTGTATATATTTTTGACTGTTGAATATAATTATTAATACACATTTTTATATTTTTGTTGCAATTTGTACCTAATACCTATTTAATCTATTTTTAGTCCGGTCAAATTAGTCATAAAAATAGTGGTCAAATAACGAAAATTCCGACAGAGCTAAATTTTGGTAAAAAGTGTCAAAAGTCCCCATCGATCCCATGTGTGCTAAAAAAGTTATTCGGGGTCAAAGGTCATAATTTGAGGTTTTTTGTTTTTTTTTTCGAAAACTAAGTTTTATCAAAAAAGTAGCTCAGGCAAAAATTATAGATCTTAAAATTATATACAAAAATGGTTCTTATACTTTTATTTTTAAGAATTACCATTCCTGAGATATCGCGATTCTAAAAGTAGAAGGAGTCACGTTATACATGATATGCACATATGCCAAGGAATATACATAGTCAGGCACTTAATACAAGTAAAAATGCCTATTTGTGTCTCTTATATGTATAAACTATACTATTCTGAGAATATACACTCAAAAGAAACTCAGTCCCTTAGTCAATCCCCTCTACCCGCATAGCCTTGAATAACATCTGGCTACTATATTGTAAAAACTTTTGTAAAAAATACACGAAACAAGAAACAAGTACAACTATCTTGTCTTCCTCCAACATCGGCTTCTGCTAATCAACACTTGTATCGAGTTCAGACATGGCTAGTCAATCAACTGAACCCAGAAGACTGGGGTTGGAAATTAACAGATAATACTTTGGAACCGATTCAAACTTTACTCCCACCTGCTCCGAAAAAACACCTAAACACTATTTTTTGCAATTGCATAAAAGGTTGTAGTACTAAATGTGGCTGTAGAAGAGTAGGGTTACTGTGTTCTCCAGCGTGTACTAATTGCCAAAGCCAGTCTTGCTCAAATGTCCAATTGAATACAACAGACGAANGGCCTGATGCTGCTCGTTGAATGCCGTTTCCATGGACGCTGCAGGTATCAACTCCGCTGAAGAGAGACACGTAAGTACCCATTGAATACGTAATTTCATTATGTTTTGCTTTTTGCGCCGCGTTTTTTTTTCCGCCCGCATCTGCCCCCATTTGCCGATCGGGGGTGGGCGCACGAATAAGGGCTGCCTAATCAAGTAGGAGCTGGATACAATTTATTCTAACGCTACATACTGTTGTATATATTTTTGACTGTTGAATATAGTAATACACATTTTTATATTTTTGTTGCAATTTGTCCCTAATGCCTATTTCATCTATTTTTAGTCCGGTCAAATTAGTCATAAAAATAGTGGTCAAATAATGAAAATTCCGACAGAGCTAATTAAAGAACCTCAAATTTTGACCTTTGACCCCGAATAACTTTTTTAGCACACACGGGATCGATGGGGACTTTTGACATTTTATTTCTAATGGCGTACCCAAGGTCTCCACCGAAATTTAGCTCTGTCGGAATTTTCGTTATTTGAAATGTCTATTTTGACCGGACTATTTCTTTCTATTTTAAATATTACAGTTGTCACAATTTTATTTCGAAACAAAGCGGCCAAAGCAAATATTCTCTCTGTAGAAGCGACGGCAAATACCTGTTTAATTACATTTTTGTTTGCGTTGCCAATGTGTGTGTGTTGCCAATAATGAACATATTAGACAAACATAAGTGTGTACATTTACAATTGTATTGCGAAAAATTCCGCCTATAAACGTAAATTGAAACCGGAATTGATTTCTCTTTTGCTTTCGCGAAAGCGGCTTGGTTATCCGAGCATTATTGTTACTAAAATTGCATACGAATCGTACAAAAATTAACATTGAATTAATCGAATTTGAAATTACCGGCACATTTGGTATTAATTTTATTCAGTTTCGGCTAGTGTTTTTGTTAACAGCGTAAGTTTTGGCGTCTTTGGAATTATAATAAACCGTTCCTTCTCGTTGCAGGTGTTCTCTGCAGAATATAATGCCCCAACGCGTGACGAAATAAAAAAAGCATATTCCGCAGCTAAAGCCCATATTTCAGATTTAGTAATGAACAAAATGTAAAAGTTATTTCAAGCTTGGAAATGTTTGAGGAATCGGTAATATAACGTTAGATGTTAGGACAATAGACAATATATATGTTTATATTCCGAGGATATGAACTTTCACAATATAAGAAATGTCGGACGCGAGCGCTGGGCGCAGGGGTGGTCCGATCGGAGTGATTTTGATATCGTTGTATCGATTGGACCTTTTCTACAAGATGTGGTCCGATTACAGGGGTGGCAATGGGGAGGAAGATGGTGCATCTCTAAATTTTGACTATTTTTATAAAACTGTCGACTGGAAGTTAAAACGTGAAAGCTAAGTTTCCCAAAGCATGTAGGGTGAATTTGTGTATAAGAGCAGCAAATCAGTATATGGTTTTTAAAGGCACCAAATACGGGAAAATTTGTAGCGATGACTTGGTAGAGTGTTACTAAGAGTATACAGGGTAGCTGTAAATTTTTCAGCGGTTTTTAGAGTCTGGGGTAGGTGGTGGATACAGGATGGGATTTTTATTGTTTTCGAGTTACAAGGCGTGGCGATTCGAAATTTTCGGCAAAATTGACAATCGTATATCTCTTACATTAGATATAAAGTGGTTTAAATATACAGGGTGTTAGAAGTTTGACTACCGTAATTTTAACAGACGATAGAATACATTAAAATAAACAAAAAAGCCTTATATAACAGGGGTCCTAAACTCATCCCTTTCCGAGTAAAAAAAATTATCAAAATCTTCAACTTGATGTATAAAAGTTCGATTAATTAAGGAATATTGACATAACCTGCGTGCATAGAATACCATACAATACAATGTTTATCACTTTCAGTTTTTTTAACTTCTTTATGCTTAATTCTAAAAAATAATTAGCGTTGTAATAAATTTAAAATTCGATAAAATTCATGTCGAGCAATGTGACAACGGCGCGGCGGTTTATTAACACGAAGTAGGTACTAAGGTGTCCAGCAACCACCAATACGCAATTCAGTTGGTATCTGGATTCGACTGTGTCGGAGTGTTTTTTGCGTGCCACTATTTCCTTTTCTTGAGGTGGGCACAAATTTGATTCGAAGATGTCTTGCGTGCATCGAAAATAGTGGTGGACATTTTGAATATATGTTGTAGTTTGTTTTGTACTTGTGCGTTTAAAAATTACTGAATTTTGCGTTTTGGTGAGTACGTAAATTATTTTTAATACGTATGATTATTTGGACGACGTGAATCTTTGAGTACTTTAATTACATATTTTTCAAATACTTAATTTGATTAAAAGTTATATTCCTGTTTTAAGAGATTCATAATTACTAAAATTCCGGCTAAAATTTAACCACAATCTTCGTACTACAAAATCGATTCATTTTATTTTATTTATTTAAAAACTGGAAAACAATTGTCTTGAAATTTACTAAATGTTTCACAATAATAGCTCTTTACATTTTTTTCGCAGGACAAGTCTGCTGCGTGTACACGTAGTGTGCATCAGCAGGTTAAGCGCTGTTGCCACGTTGTGATGAAACTCCTCAATATTAATACTCGCTGTATTTTAAAAACTGTTAATCTTACGCCCCTGTAATATACAACTTTTTTTGTTCATTTATGATTACTCTATCTCATGCTGAAACAATGGCAGTCAAACTTCTTACACTTTGTATATCAAAATACATTTAAGACCCCGTCAAACATGAAATATTTTTTTACTACTCTATATTTTAATAGAAATATAAATCACTGTTTTTCTTTATTAGTGGTGAAAATATAAAGTATCCATTCCTATTATTTTTTGAAAAATGAGTTTGACGTTCAAATGAATTGAAAGGACATTCTGGAAAAATTCTTTGATCCCAGATTGCGACCTAAAATTTGGTGCTGTATCGGTAGCCGGCTTAAAAAAATGGCGTAATGCGTTTGTGTAGTTCAACCTTGCAACTTGTAGTGAAGGTCAAATCTAAGGTCACCGTCTAATTTGTCATTCATAATCTTATAATCTTAGAAAAAAATTTTGGACATAGGACAAATATTTTCTGACCCCATATTGGGGAGTAAATTTTGTGCAATAAAAATAGATTGTCCCATTTAATTAATATGTTCAAGTTTACCTTGGTTTGGCCTTGAAACTTAAGGCCAAAGTCAAGTCCAAAGTCACCAGCTTATTGGTTGATAGGACTAAATAACGAAAAGTTATCGGGTGGTCCGAGATTTTTTTGGACAGCGTGCGTATAATTATTGTTATTATTTCATTATAATATGCCCATAAAAACTTTACTCAATCAGAATTTGGAATATCTTTATCTCCTCGTACACTAATTCCTCTTTTATAAATTGAAAACAGTTCTAGTATTTTTATGAAAGACTGACTAAAAACCATCAAAGGAAATCTAAATATATGTAAATCAAATTTTAGTTTTCATATCATAGGTAGCAATGACTCGGCTAACTTTGTGTAAGATCCTACTTCGACGTTTCGTAAAAAATCGTTTATAAAGCTCGCCCGAATAAAATTCATAGAATTACAAATTAATTAATTAATTAATTAATTAAAAAGGTCCATCTCGTTAACTCTTTCCGCCCCCCGACGGTAATTGAATTAATCCGGGAGGACAAAAGTCCCCCCCGTCCGGATCCATTAAATGCAGAAACAAGTTATGACACAGAATTACGAGTTCCTCCCGGCTACGAAATGTAAAAATAATTATGGCTCTCAATTTACTTCACAGAGGAACTTTTAAACTAATTCAGCCGGAGACCGTCTAAACGATGAGTAATAAGAGAGCTTTTTGTTGTTTTTTGCTCTCGCCTGATGAAATTTACGAGCCGCGCTCT